AGGGAGAGGTTCAACGCTATCCTGAATGAACTACAAATCGTGCAGCCAAAAGGGGGTATAGCAAAGAGCGAAAAGGATGCTGTTGCCATTGCGACAGAAGTAGGATACCTTGTTGTCGTCCGACCCTCTTATGTCTTAGGTGGCCGGGCAATGGAGATAGTTTACAACAATGACAAATTAGTGACGTACCTTGAAAATGCTGTTAAGGTAGATCCGGAGCGCTCTGTCCTGATTGACAAGTATTTAACTGATGCCGTAGAGATTGATATTGATGCACTTGCCGATTTGCATGGTAATGTGGTCATCGGTGGAATAATGGAGCACATTGAGCAGGCTGGGGTTCACTCAGGTGACTCAGCTTGCATGCTTCCGACACAAACAATTTCTGATTCATGCTTGGAAACTATTAGGTCGTGGACTACGAAATTAGCAAAGGCTAAATGTGTGTGGCCTCATGAATTGTCAATATGCCATTAGTGCTTCTGGTGAGGTGTTCTTGCTCGAAGCTAACCCCCGTGCATAACGGACGGTTCCTTTTGTTTCCAAGGCGATTGGGCACCCGTTGGCTAAATATGCTTCTCTAGTTATGTCAGGAAAATCGCTACATGACCTAAACTTCACCAAAGAGGTTATCCCAGGACATGTATCAGTTAAAGAAGCTGTTCTTCCATTTAAGAAATTCCAAGGATGTGATGTACTTCTTGGTCCTGAAATGCGAAGCACCAGTGAGGTAATGGGTATCCACTACGAGTCATCAATTGCATTTGCCAAGCACAAATTGCTGCTGGACAGAAAATGCCACTTTCGGGCACTCTATTCCTCAGTTTAAATGAATTAACAAAGCCTCAACTTACCACAATTGCTCGAGCCTTTTTGGGGCTTGGATTTCAAATCATTGCAACTTCTGGAACTGCACTTGTACTCGAATTAGAAGGCATGCCAGTGGAGCAAGTGCTTAAAATGCATGAAGGGCGGCCACATGCTGCGGATCTCATTGCCAATGGGCAAATTCAGTTGATGGTGATCACAAGTTCAGGGGACACACTCGATCAGATTGATGGCCGGAAGCTGAGAAGGATGGCTCTCACATACAAGATACCTGTAATAACAACAATGGCAAGGGCTTTGGCCACCGCTGATGCAATTAAAAGCTTGAAATGCAACAAGATTAAAATGACAGCACTTCAAGATTACTTTGATGTCTAGAAGGTAGCAGCTGAGCTCAAAAACCTGCAGTCTGCATCATCTCTTTCTACTAGTTGACTTGCCATTAGGTGAATCAGTCTTCTTTGGTTGCTTGTAAGTTTTTTCTCTTGTTCTGATCTCTATGTTATAGGTGTCCTTGTTGTTTTATGGATTTGGTGCCTCATTTTTCCCAAATTTTTGCTTCCTGAACTAGCTTTACAAATGTACTGGAACATCAAAATCTACTTATAGATTAACATGTTTTCCTCATTTATAATCTTGTGTATATAAATCAACAGAGATTGTCCATCTCTTTAAGTAGGTTTCTCCTCATTTGCCTCATGCATCTTCTTCTTCACAAAGATGTCCCTTCTCTTTCAACTTGCAAAGTTCGTCGACATTCATCATATGAGTGCAATTGAAATTAAGCTCACAATTTTTAAGTTTTTCTTTTTACACACACACACACAATCACACACAAACATATATATATATATATAAAATTAGTGAAAAAGTATAGAAAATTTAAGTAAGTTGTTGAAACCTACAAAATCAAACATTTAAAAGTTGAACCTTTTGTAGATCAATAAAACATAGTAGTTTAATCGATAAAAAGATTATTGTAAAGGTTCAATGAATCACTAATCTTTGCACATGCAGGGTATGAATCAGGTGAACACTTGTTCTTCCAGTGCAGCTACTCAAATGAACTGTGGACTAAACTAGTTAGCTGGCAAGGCGTTCAAAGACATGCAAGGGAATGGAGTCAGGAGTTAAAACTGGGCAATCAATTGGGCAAAAGGAAACAAAGCTGCAGATGAATTATATAGGATGGCATTGGCAAGTTTTACTTATTATATTTGGCAAGCAAGGAACCAAAGAATATTTCAAGGAAAGAAGAGAAATGTTGATACAATTAGTAGACTTGTGGTCCAGGACATTCAATGCCGAGGGAAGAACAAGAAGAAGCTAGCTGGACCCCTGAGAAATTTGAACTTTTATCCCTTGGAATTCTGTCATGTTGAATCTAATGTAATGGAATATGAAAAGGGTAGATGGGAGTAGTAGTAGGGAAGATGGTGTATGGCAATTTTGGGATGTTCTTGTTGTACATATTTTCTTTCCCTGGTAAATAAAATATAATATAATTTGTTACCACAAAAAAAAATAAAAAAATCACTGATCTGAAATACACAGTTGAGATAATTATCTGGAGATGGAATGCTAATACAATGTTTTATTAGCAGCCTTTCCTGATTCACGTCTTAGTTGGTAAATAGTCCACAGCGTCGATCTACTATGAGCAACACGATATTTCTACTATTCTAACAGTAGATCTACTATAGCTTGTTTGAATTGTGGGCCCCAAAAGTTCTATCTTTTCACATGGTAACTTTGAGTTTGACTCCATATTTTACACGTACTATTCACATGTTCCACCTCCAACTTTTTTTTGGGGTATTTGTGCTCTCACAAATTTTTTCTTAAACGTGTTTCCCATCTTTAAACTTGTAAGCATCTTTTCTAATACTACTACTATAGTCAACAAAATAAGGCTCATTTTTGTAAAATATAAAGGTTAGCATGATTAGACAGAGGAAGAAATTTGTTGTAACGGATGTATTCATTTTTAGGTTTTATTTTAGTTAAATTAGTTTGACACAAACAAATGTTGCTTTGGAAAACCAAGAATTATTTTTCTATTCTGATCCAATAAATGATACAAAATATGAAGACACACAAAGAATAACTAGAAAAGATATAAGGATAAAGTTATTTAAATAATTTTTACAACAGTGCCATTAAATAATTTTTTAATGTGTGCCAAAATCTTTAATTTTTTTTTAGGGGCAATAGTATTATTTGCAATCTATCTATAACTATTTTAAACAAGTTAACATTGTCGGTAAGGTTTTTTATTGTCAGCATATAAGTTAAATGGAAAATATACTTATGTTAATTAGCGCAACAAAATCATGAAGCGAGCTCTTCTTAAAATTTAGTTTTTAAGGTAATAATTGAGTCTAACAAAATTATAATTTGTTTACTTTTTAATGACTTTGGATGATTTATAACTTTACATTTTTTTTTTTTAGAGATGGATTCTATCACAGGGATCTTCTTTATAACACCCTGAAACTCATCTCCCTCAACATGCCTGCTTGGTTATCCAAGTTGAATAGTGGGGACATTTTAGTAATTTACTGTGAAAGACTTGTTTTGATTGGTTCACATTATTTAGTAAATGTAGTTACTTTGTGTACATTATAACTGTGCAGACTTTCTTGCCCTTCGAAGGCCCATGTTCATGCGTTTTAGACACAGCTATTGACATTATACAGGTGTTCTCTTTTTTAGTATATTAATTAATTATAACACAATTAAAAACGACTTCAACTAAAATGAGCCAATGTAATATACAACAGAGGTAGACAAAGATATGATTTTTTTTTCTTCGTAACGGTAAAAATAGGATGAGTCACTGTATGATATTTCGTTAGTAAGGAATTCAAAAGTTTAAACTACTGAGAAACTTTTACGAAGATATAACTTTAATACAGAACATGCTTAATTCAAAAGGTAAAGAGAGACAAGCTTTAAACACCTACATTTGGATTACTGGAATTTTTTTTAAATTTTGTTTCATTGTTCTAACTTCTTTTATAATTTAGTGGAAAATTAATACGCTTGTTTACCACGGATTTTTCTTTTAACCCCTAATTAGCTTAATAATGAGAGGTTGATAATAAATACCTAAAAAAGATCTCCATAAGCCATCCCACAAAATACAAGCTGTTGGATGTATTAGGTTTGACAAAATCATTACAAAGAGGATGCTAAAAGTTAATACAATTACTTCCTCTACGTCTTGTGACCATACACAATCGGAAAAAAAATAAAGTCACTAAATATGAGAATGAGTGAGAACGAACCTTGTTCTTTCAGTCAAGAGATTGGAAGAATTTTAAAACCTTGATCAAAATATTTATATATAACATTAACATCTAAAAGAAATAATATATACCATGTTGATACCATGCGTCAATAAATTTGTCTATTCTAAAAAGGACGATGGCGGCTAATTGTCATCTAGGCTGCTATTCATGATATATATATACTAGAAAAGAGAAAGATATGTCATAGATACATTCTAAGTTAATTAACAGACATTGGTTAGACCAAAATTGTACCATAGATTTGAAGCACACCTTTACAGATTATAACTACGCCTAAGTAAAATGACAAAGTCATTGCAAAAGACAAATCCAAGTGTTCAAAATACCACAAACATGAGAATGCAACTTCAATCTCAAGTATGGCAAAATTATATTATCTAAGGAACATTAAATAAATAATTAAAAATTTCTAATCATATTAATAGTCTAATAGAAAAACATATGAGCTATAAAAAATTTAACCCATGCAATGCGAAAATTGAGCCCGCGGGCCAATCACTACCAGTTCAAGTTATAATGGAGAACATTGACCAATGAAACCCAATCTATGACAAATGGTTTCGAGTTATAGATGCATCATTTAA